ATGTTACAATGCTTCCAAGATAGACTGTTACAACATGTTAATAAAGATTCATCTATTGGCTGGAAAGATACTGTAAAATGAAAAGGGACACATCCGCGCTCTGCCCCCTTGACGCTACCTTTGCTGAAAGCATTTTATTTGTGTTGTGACAACGTGACGTGACCGATGGGTTTATCTAAGTACTTCATGTATCCCTTATTATAGTGTATTTAGAACTTCTCCGCATGCAGAATTTCCAGGCTGTAATTTAAACGTTTTCCTGGCTGTGTGCGTGATGTTGTGACCCATTTATATGGTCCTATGAAAATTTCGAAATGACAAACTGGGGCGGACGTAAACCAGAAGCCCGGCTATAAATATAAATAGCTCATTGTAGAACCACGCGCAAATCTTGAATCTTGCAGTTCCAACAGCGAAACAGTGCCATCTCTCGGTACCTTCTCCGCCAAGTGGTCTAAGTTAAGGTGTCAAACAAAATTAGTCCGAACGTTATGGGTAAAATAAACCGTTGTATATATTTTTTTATGTAAACCTTAGTTTAGTCACTGAAAAAAACGTTGAAAATTGCTTTTATGTGGAAAGAAGAATAAAACGTCAGAACACGCGGTGGAGAGAACAACTTGATCTGTTCATCCAGGGCGGAAAAAGGCCGCTACATGTAAGCGCTCTGGCTCATCTGCTAAGTTCCCGCGTAAAACGCGTCTTCCACTCCGTGACGCGAGGGAACTGGAAATGAAAGAGAATCTAAACATGGCGGTGGACCTTCGCATTTTGTGGGAATTATATACTTAAATATTCTGATGTCAAAGCCACGTTGAAGACACTATTTCTGGTACCACTTGCACTTTGAAACCTATTTAGCTTCGTGTGGTTGTATTTGGACGCAAGGAAAATGGCTGCAGCATCTATAAAATTCTGAAATGGAGACCACGTGTAATTTCACATACTGACAACAGCTTAGCTCGTACAAGAACATACCGAAGGTAAGATTAAGAACTTAAGCTACTGTTTACGAAATTTCTTTCCCTACTGGATCTTTCTCACGGACTAATGCCTAAGCATTTAAGTGACTGAATTTTTGTTGCGCTTTTGTAAGCATAATGTTTGCTGCGCTGGATTCAAATTCTTCCATCACCGTTCTATGCCGTTGTTTTGACCGAAAAATGTTTGAGTTGATATTGAGCAAGACGAAATTCTAGCCCCGTGAAAATCTTCTTAGGCAATACAAAAGGTGATAAAAGATGCTAAAAGGTGCTAAAAGGTGTTAAAAATCTTGATGTAAACGCCTAATTTACATAAATTTTTATTTTTTCGGTGAAGCTTTGAAATTGACCAATTATTCAGCCTTACGCAGTAGACCTCAGCACAAGGCTCTGGGGAATAAACCCCCCAAACTCTGCAGGCATTCCCCAGAGCCTTGTACTGAGGTCTATTGTTTTAGGCTGAATTTTAATATATCAAAATTGATCTACTCTTTATAAGTATTGTATTTAAATCCTTTATGAATAAGCTTATTATAAGCAAGCCTTATATTTAACAATTATTCCACAACTGCGCATTGGATATGANTTTCTAAAACTTTTGTAAAGTTTATCATCAGTCATTGGTCTCTTTTGATCAGTCTATTGTTAGTCAAATCGGTCAGTTTTAGGTCCGTCTATTGTTAGTCAAATTAAGTCGGTTTGTTAGAAGTCTGTTTGTCAGTTTTGTTTTTGTTGTGAATAAGTCGTTACCGGCAGAAGCCATCATGGACTTACTGAACCTTTGCCTTACATCGACTTACTTTCAGTATAACGGTAAACACTTCAAACAGTTGCATGGAACAGCCATGGGGTCGCATGTTTCTGTTGTTGTTGTAGAAATTGTGATGCAACATGTGGGGGAACATGCCCTTGCAACTTGCCGACAAATGATGCCTATAAAGACGAAATTGACGCTTTTCACGACCACCTTAACCAACAGAACACCGAAATTCAGTTTACTAAAGAAATGGAAGAAAATGGAAAACATCATTTTCTAGACTGTTTGGTAAGCCGCAACAACAACAAACTGCGTATGACAGTGTACGGAAAACTAATTGATACCAACAGATTACTTAACAAATCATTCTACAAGCCAACTTCACACAAAGCCACGGCTGCAGACTCTGACAAGACAAGCGCAACTAGTTTGTGACACACCGGACAGCTTATGTGACTAAAAGAGATACCTTGAACATGTTTTTCACAAGAACAACTACAATGCTGACTTTATTAGGAGAAAAATTTACCGACCTACTGAAGCTTATGCAATAAACAGGAACCAGACACCTGTTACCACAGTGACTATACCTAACATTAAGGGCACTTCTGAGACCATCTCATGAATCCTACTGCCCTACAACATTCATGTAGCCCACAAACCTACAACTACGTTACGGCACTTACTGTCTAACATTAAAGACAGGGATGAACCCAACAACAGATGAGGAGCAGTTTACAAGATCAAATGCTTCAACTGCCAAGCTTCCTACATTGGTGAGACTGGCAGAAACCTTAACAGGACACTGACTGAACGCAAACAAGCCATAAGAAATGGTGATGCCAACAATCACATTGCTGTTTATCATCAACTGACAAACCACAGCATTGAATGGGACTCTGCTCAGTGCTTAACCTACTGTACAAACTATTTTCAATGACTGACTCTGGAAAGCTGGTACACTAACTTAGAACATATGCCTCTCAGCCAATGTCAAGAACTACTGGCGCCTTACAAACAATTTATCGACGACAAAAACAAAACCGACAAACAGACTTCTAACAGACTAATTCTAACCTTAAACAGACCAATTTGACTAACAATAGATGGATCAAAACCGACCAATGGCTGATGGCAAACTTTACACAAGTCTTTCAGTCAATACTAACATGGCTAAACTGACCAATCACTTTCAACAGACTAGACTTATAACATCATCGACTGACAAACACTATTCACTTGACACTGAAGATGACTTCCGCTCAGGTTGTCAAAGCGTGAGTCACCAACAACAGTTCTTTTCAGAACTACCCTCACCCAGATGGTCACACTATATGAAATACCATAAACTGTTTGTAATTAATGACACACTGCCGCATTAGTCTGCTGTACTATAGCAGTATCTCATTGCGCTGGTCAAATTTTTAATTTAAATTTGAAGAAACGTTGCTCTTAATACGCTCCTGTTGAAAATGATATTAATTTGAATCAAAGTGCTACATTACGTTCCTGTTACTTAAACAGAGTTGCCAAACCTATCTCAAGTAAGCCAAAGCTATGTTCTATTGACAGTATCAGTGAACATAATTATTATGGTTCCCAATATAGCAGCACTATGGAGGGGGGGGGGATGAAGAATTTCCCACTCAATTTTAATTTCTTCCTGTAATATATCAGATGAATGCAATAGAACATCTGATTCTTATAAATGATGATGATGATGATGTAATTTACTGACAGAGGGTCCACAACTTAACTCAATTTTCTCACAAAAAGCAATTTGAGAGCAAAAAATGAAAACGTCGAAAAGAAAAATAGATATATCTGATACATCCCATTCAACTTATACAAATATTATTGCCAAAATATACCAGTTTCTGGAAGCACCATTTAGGCCCATTTAAAGTTGCTAGAAATTTTGGCTATTTTAGACCACTTGAGAGGCCAAAACATAACATGGTGATATCTCGAAAAATAGTGGACACCTGCCTTGGCAAAGATCCAAGTAAAATTGTTTTAATGGAACAGTCGGCTGACAGCTGGCCGACAGATGGCTGACAATACCTTTTAGGAGCTGGTCTTCACTTTTATCAATCATATTGTTGTTTCATTAAAGGATGTTGGACTAGACAAGGAACATCACCAGAGAGTGTGGATTTGGCAAGAGCAGGAAAAGGACAACAGGCCAGACATTAAGGATTGTGCCCAAAGATTGAAGCAGGACCAAATGACAAGATGGTTTCTGGTAAATTTGTTGTGAGGCAGTTATTGAAAGTCAGAGATTTACATCTTTAAGAAATAATATTAATAATAATTATGTTATTTGTAATTAGGGGTACAACATGTGGCATGAACTGTTTGCAAGGCTAACATTTTGTTTCTTTCTGATTTTCTGGTGATTAGAAATGTTTTCAGAATACCCAAACTGATTGATTTTAGCTAAAGCCAAATAATCTTTCCTCCAAATTATATGCAAATATGAAAATGTGATCTACATACATATAATCTCAACCTGGAAATGTTGACTTTATAAATGTTCATGTTACTTTGGATGTTTAATTTAAGATATTTTTAGTTATAGATTGTACATTTTCCCCTAAAAAATTACTGAGGCTTTACATTGCAAACTAAGCTAAAAATCTCAAAGCACAAAATAAACTCTTGCAAAATATTCATGCTACACATACGCACTGATTAGTAAGCTCACCAATTACTTAAAAAAGTAACTAACAGGAGAATATTGTTTTACTTAGACTTAGATATACCAAATTTGATTTATAAATGGTTTTGTAGCCATTTAACTTTTTAATTATTGGCCCAGCCCGGGAGGTCATTGAACATGGGGTACAGCTGGCCTGGGGTTTTCCTCCTAGGGGCAAGTGGACGTACGGGGAGGTTTTTCACCCAGCTGTTGTTCCACAACCCCTGTTCAGTATAGTTACTTATTTCAATAGCTTGATACACTTTTGCTAGATTCTTCAATGTGGTTTACATTGGTTTGGAGAGAATGTAAAAAAAATACAAACTGTAAAGTATACAGTCACTAACATTTTAGAACAAACACTTCTGAACTGATACCAACAACTGCATTTCTTTCACTCATCAAATGGCTTGTTTATGACCTCAACTAAACCAACCAGCAGACGATAACTTCAACAGAACAAACACAAACTTGTCTGACTAACAATACTTGTGCATTTATGTAGATGATTTAAACGGACAACACCGTGCAGCAAGAACTACTTGCATCTTACAAATGACTTATTCATGACCTCAACAAGCCAACAAAATAAAATGTTAACTTCAAACAGAACAATCACACATTGGACTAAAAATCACTGCAACCAACAATAACTGGCCAATCACAGTTAACTTACTTTGTACTCTGACTGTCAATAACCACACTGGAAGCTGACCAGTCAGCTTCAAGGACCAGACTTATCACCCTCAACTGACCAACAACTTTTTACCTAACTCTGGAGACTGGCTCTATGCTTCACAGAAACTTGACAAAAGACAAAAGGAAAGCACTTAACAATGACCGACAACAGAACACATTCTACTGCCATTAGGGAAGTGACTGACTACCACAACAAAATGGACACATTTGGTAATGGCAAACATACTTACAAATACCTGACCTGACACCTGTACTTCAACATAAACTTAACAGTCAACAAACTAACAAAAAGACCGCCATTGACATTCAAGTCTACTACTATGTCAATAAGGATCACGACAGCCAAACCTTAAGACACCACCGAAACTGTGCAAATCACATACCAATGCAACCCACCACCTCATTATGTTAATACTGTTGTTTGGTGTGTGTGCCACCAGTGTTCAAACAAGTGCCTTTTTGGAGAAAAAAATTGTCTGTATAGCTGGTTTGGAACTGAATATGGAATTAGCTGTATGTGATTAATTGGTTCATTGGTTGGATTTCTTTGTTACTGTATGTCATTCTCACTACAGTCTGCATCATGAAGTGTATATTTTGTTGTTTGTCTTATGTTGTTCTCACTAAGGTCCATGCAGATGGCAATGTTTTGCCAGTTTACTGTTAGCTTTCATTGTCTTAAGCTTGCGAAAAAGGCTGGTAGAGAAACGCAACAAAATTTTACGAATATTAGAGTTAAGTGTACTGTTCACCCTGTTGTTCGCAAATCTGTTTCATGCTGAATCTTCTAAGCTTGCAATTTTACACTTCCAAATTATTGTGCTGAAACAATATTAGTCATTTTACATAGTTTGTTTTCCCTTCCAAATTCCCAAATTTCTTTGAAGATCAAAGTATTAAATATTATCAAGTCCAAAGAGTTTACCTTTTAAAAAGTAAGCCAAACGCCGTACATTCTGCCAAGATTTTGCTGCTTATAAATCAGTCAGATTGCTTAGATGGGGGTGAAAATTGGCATGGAATTATAGAGAGCCAACTGAAGGCAAATACTCTATTGCAAAAGTGCTTTACATTGTACTTTTGTTCAAACAAAAGTATGGATAATTGCCCTAGATTTTGACTTCTTTCTTTGGCAGTTAAATTTCAGTTGTTATAGCCACTTTGAACAGAACACACGTGTGTAACGTTTTTGCAAAACAGTTTTCCAAGGACTCCAAGGCTCCTTAAAGACCAAATGAAGTAAGAAAAAAATATAAATTCTTTATTTGTCAGCCTAGGTCATTCAGTATAGGGAAAAACTGTACAAGAGGTCTTGAGTCAGCCCAAGCCCTTGGGCCTCAGGTTGTTATCATCACAGCCTCTGGCACAGTTTTTCCCATACAGACCTGGCCAGCAAATAATACATCTCTTTCCACGCCATTTTTTCTGTTAAATGTATATTACTGGGAGAGCTGCATGCAGTAGCAAAAATTCTGACCCCAATCAATGAACCATTTAATCAAGAAATTACAATATCTTTTTTGTTTTCAATTATTTGGATGATTTGATTCCATTGTCAAATCTTACTCTTGCACTTGTTTGTTCAATATAATTAGGATTGAAGGTCCCACAACAAGAGTCTTGAGCAGAGCTAGCCTGCGAGCAGGCTCACCTTTAAGTCACACGCGCGAGCGGTGAAGAGCAAAGAGATCCGACAGGAAGGAGTCTGGTGAAGAGGCGCCCAGAGGTGCCCTTTCTTGTCTCACGGCTTTGCTGCTCGATTTTGCTTGCGCTCAACCATGAGCCTGCTTGCAGGCTAGAGCAGAGTGTTTCTTATGCATGCAGTATTGCTGCCCCAGGACAAGGTCGTTGATTAATTTTCAGAATTTCGTTAATAATTAGAAAATCCAAAATTGGCAATTCTGAGATAGGACAGCCTCAAGACAGTTGGCATGTATGTGCACAGGACACCCAATTTGTTACTCCTCGCTATTTTTACTCTGGGATGATGGTTTGATACAGGCTAAGAATAAGGGAAGCAGTTATATTTCATTATAAATTGCGTGTTCACAAGATAGGCAGTGAGGTACTTTTTTTTCATTCTCAATTTATGCACAGTTTGGATTAAAGTTATTTCACTTCTAAAAAATGGCCTAGGTAAGCTGAAGTCATTTTGCATTCCATGTTCAGTTGTCATGACAACAGTTTGAGGTGAAAAATGACATCCGTTTACTATCAGGCTACTTCAAAGTGCAGCATCTCATTTTAGCGAGTTATCGTCCTTTTTAAAAAAAAAACTATTAATGCTTCCTTTGTTTACATTAAGTAAAAGTGGATCTGCAAGCTCATTAGCACAACTCTATAGAAGTTTAAAGAGCTTATTTTTAACACCACAGAACTTAGTTGCAGCTATTAGCAAGGTACTATTACTCTTATCATTGCCACTCAATTTCTTGACTGCATTTATTGCTTTGAAGACTTATCAGAATTTTCATCAATACACGTCGTTTAGTCTTAACCACAAAAAATGTACTACTTCCTTGTGAAAAAGTTTTAGAGTGGCAATGATATGAAAAAGAGAAAAAAGAAAACAAGATAGAGAAGAGCTATTTGAAAATTACCAAAATTTCATTTTAGCTACTTACAACCTTTGATGGAATTAGGCTATTCTTGGTTTCCAAAGTCTTGGTTTCATTTCATGGTCAAAATCTCAAGTTTTATTTTAATTTTCCTGGCCTATAATGGTAATAATGCAATATTCAGGTTAAAGGAAGGTAGATCAACAGTCTGCGTTTTTGTTTTATCACTAGTCTGTTTTTTTTGTTGTTGTTGTTGTTCTTGTTTTAATCTAATACAAAATCTGGACTCTTCTCGGTGCTTAAGATCTACCTAATGCAGACTGTTGATGAACATCAATTTGTTTATTTGCTTTGTGTGAATTTCTTGGTTCTTTCTTGGTGTTGGAAGTCCTTATATTTCTTAGGCTCTCCAAGACTTCCTTTAATCGNGTCAGTATAGGGAAAAACTGTGCAAGTTGTCTCGAGTCAGCCCAAGGCCTTGGGCCTCAGATTGTGCTCAACACAACCTCTGGCACAGTTTTTCCCATACAGACCTCCTGGCCAGTAAATAATATATCTCTTTTCAAAGCTATTTTTTCTGTTGAATGCATATTAGTGAGAGAGCTACATGCAGCAGCAAACATTCTGACTCCAACCAATGAACCATTTAATCAAGAAATATATCCAATTATTTGGATAATTTGATTCCATTGTCAAATCTTACTCTTGCACTTGTTTGTTCAATATAAATTAGGGTTGAAGGTCTCAACACAAGAGTCTTGAGTAGAGCTTTTCTTATGCATGCAGTATTGCTGCCCCAGGACAAGGTCATTGATTAATTTTCAGAATTTCGTTACAAAATTGGCAATTCTGAGATTGGACAGCCTCAGCACAGTTAGCATGCATGTGTAGAGGACACCTAATTTGTTCCTCCTCGGTATTTTTATTCGGGAATGGTGGTTTGATAACAGGCTAAGAATAAGGGAAGCAGTCATTTTCCAATATAAATTGTATGTTCATGAGAGAGTCACTCAAGTATTTTTCATTCACAATTTATACACAGTTTGGATTAAAATTATTTCACTTCCAAAATTTGGCCTGGGTAAGCTGACGTCATTTTACATTCCATGATCAGTTGTCATGACTACAGCTTGTGAGGTGCAAAATGACATCCATTTACTATCAGGCTACTTCAAAATACAGCATTTCATATTAGCAATTTATCGTCCTTTTTTTAAAAAAACAAAAACTTTTATTAGTGCTTCCTTTGTTTATATTAAGTAAAGGGGAATCTGCAAGCTCATTAGCAGACCTTTAACTATAGAAGTGAAAAGTACTTATTTTTAACTCTAAAAACTTAGTTGCAACTATTAGCAAGGTACCGTCAATCTTATCGTTGCCCCTCAATTTCCTCATGTTCTTGACTACATTTATTGCTGTGAAGACTTACCAGAATTTTCATTAATACACTTTTTTTTAGCCTTAACCACAAAAAAAATACCACTTCCTTGTGGAAAAGTTTTAGAGTGGCAATGATATGAAAAAGAGAAAAAACAAACGTAGATGGAAAAGAGCTATTTAAAATTAAGCAAAATTTCTTTTCATTAGGTACTTACAGCCTTTGTTGGAATAAGGCTATCCTCAGTTTCCAAAGTCTTGTTTTCATCTCATGTTTTATTTTAATTTTCCTGGCCAATAATAGTAATAGTGCAATGTTCAGGTTAAAGGAAGGTAGATCAACAGTCTGCATTATTACTTTTAAAACTAGTTTTTTGTTGTTGTTTTTGTTTTATGTCAATCTAAAAAAAATTCTGGATGCTCCTCAGTACTTAAGATCTACTTAATGCAGACTGTTGATAAAGTTAATTTATGTTTATTTGCTTTTTGTAAGATAAGGTTCTTTCTTGGTGCTAGAAGTCCTTATATTTCGTAGGGTGTCCTAGACTTCCTTTAAACGTTTTCAACACTCTTGGGTTTTTCAATGACTGTTTTTTAAAAAAGAAAAGTAAAAAAAAAAGCTTGTAGGATTTTTCAGCTCAGTACCCTGAGCACAGCCTATCAACAGGCTAGATCAAGTTTTAAACCTTGTTTAGTTTCTTACTTTTATCACCAAGAAACAGCCAATTTTTTCGTTTAGTACTTTATTTATAATTTGCTAGCGAGCTTGCACATATCTACTTTTTAGTTGTTAGGTGATTATTTAATTCCAGGACAGAAGGTGGCACACACACCAAGACACAAATCTAGCCAATCNCACCAAGAAACAGCCACTTTTTCTTTTAGTACTTTATTTATAATTTGCCAGTGAGCTTGCATATATCTACTTATTAGTTGTTAGGTTATCATTTAATTCCAGGACAGAAGGTGGCACACACACCAAGACACATCTAGCCAGTCAACGTTCCTGCTGGGTTGTGGAAGCTCTGCCTCTGAGAAGGTGTGTGTTTCTGATGTCCTCTGATATATTCCAACTGAGAAATCCTGGGAAATTTTATCTGATCCTGTAATTCAAGCTGGGGATAGTTGGACACTTGGAAGTGTTGGCCATTTGCTCTCAAGTGGGTAGGACAGTGTGAAGGAAGGTGAGAGTTTGCTTTTCATGTCTTTAGGGTCTCACTTAATTTGTCACAATACCACACCATCAATTGGGCATTTTTGGACCAGCAAGATGCTTTTTTGCAGTCAGTGTATCAGGAAATGTTCCGCAACCAAGGATGTAAAACAGGAGTGCTGAATAGTGGGGCTCAAGGAAGGTACATCTCTTGAGAAAGCATGGACAGAGGAGGGTGCTGAATTTTATCGGTCTGACCTGATTGGATTTTCACAAATGACATCAAATTGAGCT